AAAACCGGAGAGAGGGAGGGGAGAGGGAGGGAGGGGGAGAGGGAGGGAGGGAGGAAGAAAAGAAGAAGAAGACAAATAATTGTGAAGAAATCCTCTGTCTCCAGGACTTGCTTGCCAGCCATTAGCTTCTTTTTCTCTTCTTTTTCTCTTCTCTTCTCTCTCTCTCTCTCTCTCTCTCTCTCTCTCTCTCTCTCTCTCTAAATTTAAATTTGAAACAAGATTGTTTTACAGGTCAATCCCAGTTCCCTCTCCCTCCCCTCCTCCCCTGCCCCCTCCAACTCCCATTCAATTCCCTTTCTGCTCCCTAGAGAGGGTGAGGCCTTCCATGGGGGATCTTCAAAGTTTGGAGCAGGGCCTAGGCCCTCCCCCGTGTGTCTAGGCTGAGAGAGTATCCCTTCATGGAGAATGGGCTCTCAAAGTCCATTTGTACACTAGGGATAAATACTGATCCACTACCAGGGGCCCCATAGACTTCCCAGTCCTCCCAAATAACACCATATTCAGGGGATCTGGGTCAGTCCTTTGCTGGTTTTCCAGCTATCAGTCTGGGGTTCATGAGCTCCCTCTTGTTCAGGTCAGCAGTTTCTGAGGGTTTCTCCAACCTGGTCTTGACCCCTTTATTCATCACTCCTTCTTCCCTGTAACTGAATTCCAGGAAGTCAGCTCAGTGTTTAGCTGTGGGTGTCTGCTTCTGTTTCCATCAGCTACTGGATGAAGGCTCTAGGATGGCAAATAAGGCAGTTATCAACCTCATTATCAGGGAAGGACTTTTAAGGTAGGCTCTCCACTATTGCTTAGATTGTTAGTTGGGGTCATCCTTGTGGATCTCTGGACATTTCCCTAGTGCCAGATTTCTCTTCAAACCTATAATGGCTCCCTCTATTATGGTATCTCTTTTCTTGTTCTCCTCTATTCCTTTCCTGACTCAACCTTCCTGCTCCCTCATGTCCCTCTCTCCCCTCCTCTCCTCCCCTTCTCTTTCTCCTATCCCCCCCCCCATGCTCCCAATTTGCTCAGGAGATCTTATCACTTTCCCCTTCTCCAGGGGACCATGTATGTTTCTCTTAGGGTCCTCCCTGTTTCTTAGCTTTTCTGGCAGTATGGATTGTAGGCTGGTGATTCTTTGCTCTGTGTCTAAAATTCATATATGAGTGAGTACATACCATGTTTGTGTTTTTGTGGCTGGGTTACCTCACTCGGGATGGTTTCTTCTAGTTCCATCCATTTGCCTGAGAATTTCAAGATTCCATTGTTTTTTTCCTCTGAGTAGTACTCCATTGTATAAATGTGACATATTTCCTCCATCCATTCTTCAGTTGAGGGGCATTTAGATTGCTTCCAGGTTCTGGCTATTACAAATAATGCTGCTATGAACGTAGTTGAACAGATGTCATTGTATGAATGTGCATCTTTTGGGTATATACCTAAGAGTGGAACTGCTGAATTTTGTAGTAGACCGATTCCCATTTTCCTGAGGAACTGCCATACTGATTTCCAAAGTGGCTGTACAAGTTTGTACTTCCATCAGTAATGGATGAGTGTTGCCCTTTCTCCACATCCTCTCCAGCATAAGCTGTCATTGGTGACTCTAATTTTAACCATTCTGGCAGGAGTAAGATGGTATCTCAGAGTTGTTTTGATTTGCATTTCCCTAATGGCTAAGGATGTTGATCACTTCCTTAAGTGTCTTTCAGCCATTTTAGATTCTTCAATTGAGAATTCTCTGTTTAGTTCTGTACTCTACTTTTTAATTGGATTATTTGGTGTTTTGGTGACTAGCTTCTTGAGTTATTTGTATATTTTGGATATCAGTCCTCTGTCAGATGTGGGGTTGGTGAAGATCTTTTCCCATTCTGTGGGCTGCTATTTTGTCTTGTTGACTGTGTCCTTTGCCTTACAGAAAATTTTTAGTTTCAGGAGGTCCCATTTATTAATTGTGGAGCTCAGTGTCTGTGCTACTGGTGTTATATTCAGGAAGCTGTCTCCTGTACCAATTCATTCAAGAGTACTTCCCACTTTCTCTTCTAAGAGACTCAGTGTGGCTGGGTTTATGTTGAGGTCTTTGATCCATTTGAACTTAAGTTTTGTGCATGACTATAGATATAGATCTATCTGCAGTCTTCTACACAGCAGCATTCAGTTATGCCAGCACCATTTGTTGAAGATGCTTTCTTTTTTTCCATTGTATCATTTTAGCTTCTTTGTCAAAAATCAGGTGTTTGTAGGTGTGTGGATTAACATCAGGGTTTTTAATTTGATTCCATTGGCCTACCTGTCTATTTTTGTGTCAATACCAAGTTGTTTTCAATATTATAGCTCTATAATAGAGCTTGAAGTCAGGAATGGTGATGCCTCCGGAAGTTTCTTTATTATACAGGGTTGTTTTAGCTATCCTGGGTCTTTGTTTTTTCATATAAAGTTCAGTATTGTTCTTTCAATGTCTGTGAAGAATTGTGCTGGGATTTTGATGGGGATTGCATTGAATCTGTAAATGCTTTTGCCAAGATTGCCATTTTTACTGTGTTGATCCTACCTATCCAAGAGCATGGGAGATCTTTCCATTTTCTGATACCAAAGACTCAAAGTTCTTATTATATAGGTCTTTCACTTGTTTGGTTAGCATTACCCCAAGACATTTTATGATTTTATGTTATATAGTAAAGCTACTGTTGTTTGTTTGTTTGTTTGGTAATCTTGTATCCTGCCACTTTGCTGAAGGTGTTTATCAGCTGTAGAAGTTCCCTGGTAGAGTTTTTCAGGTCACTTATATAAACTATCATGTCATCGCAAATAGTGAAAGTTTGATTTCTTCCTTTCCAATCTGTATCCCCTTGATCTCCTTTTGTCTTATTGCTCTAGCTAGAACTTCAAGTACAATATTGAAGAGACACAGAGAGAGTGGACAGCCTTGTCTTGAGTTTCTCTCCATTCAGTTTGATGTTGGCTCTTAGTTTACTGTCATCTCTTAGTGTTGGTAGAACATCTATCCAGGACCTTCTGTCCTTCAGAGTTTCCATGGAGAAGTCAGGTGTAATTCTGATAGGTTTTCCTTTATACGTTACTTGGTCTTTTTTCCTTTGCTGCTCTTAATATTCTTTCTATATTCTGTATGTTTGGTGTTTTGATTATTATGTGGTAAGGGGATTTTTTTTTCCCCCCTTTTTTTTTTTTTTTTTTTTTTTTTTTTGTGGTCCACTCTATTTGGTGTTCTGTAAGCTTCTTGTACTTTCATTGGCGTATCTTTCTTTTGGTTGGGAAATTTTTCTTGTATGATTTTGTTGAATATATTTCCTGCACCTTTGAGCTGGGTTTCTTCACCTTCTTCTATACCTATTATTATTATGTTTGGTCTTTTCACAGTGTCCCACATTTCCCGGATATTTTGTTTTAAGGATTTGTTAGACTTAAGATTTTCTTTGGTCGATGAATCTATTTCTCCTAGTGTATCTTCAATGCCTGAGATTCTGTCTTCCATCTCTTGTAATCTGTTGGTTATGTTTGCATCTGTAGTTCCTGATCATTTACTGAGCTTTTCTATTTCATTTCCAGCATTTTTTTTTTTTTTTTTTTTTTTTTTTTTTTTGGTCTCTATTTCAGCATTTCAGCTTTCAAGCCTTGCACTGTTTGAATTGTTTCTTGCAAGTTTTGGTTTGTATTTTCCTCCATTTCTTGATTTTTTTTTTTCTTCCATTTCTTTAAGGGATTTTTCTCACTACCTCTTTGAGGGTCTCTATCATCATTGTAAAGTTGTTCTCTTCTGCTTCATCTGTGTTGGGAAGTTCAGGTCTTGCTGGTGTGGAGTCCCTAGACTCTGGTGGTGTCATATTGATCTTTCTGTGTTCTTACACTGTTGTCTACCCATCTCTTCTTCCTGTGTGTACTGGTGGGGTCTCTTCCTGTCCTGGTGGGTACGGGACCAAGATTCTCTTCCGGTGGGTGCAAACAGCTCCAGTGCTTCAATGGCTGTCCTCTTCCAGTGAGTGGTGGCGGGACTAGGATGCTGGCAGACTCTGAATGGGCTGGTCAGCCCGGACAGGCTCCCCCTGTACATGTGCAGTGCCCAGACTTCAGGAGGGTGTGAGTAGGATCCCAGAAGGTGGGAAATAGACCCATAGATTACTCCTCCCATGGGTGCATGTGGGACTAGGATGCTGGCCGACTCTGGATGGGCTGGTCCGCTGGGCAGGGTTCCCCTGTGCACAGTCCCTAGTCCCTCGGGGCTCCGATCAGGGCACAGGAAGGCGAGCTCCTCCAGTGGGTGGAGGTGGGACTCTCTTTTTTCCTTCTTATTTTTTGACTATACTTATTTATTATTATGTAGATAGCATATCCACTTGGTTTGAAAACCAAAAAGTAACATGTTACATGGTTAAAACCTCCCCCTCCTGTCTTATTCTCTATGTACCAAGCCCCCTTCTTGCTCTGCCCAGGAAACCCAGTGCACTAGCTACTTTCCTATTGGCTGTGATAACACACCATAACCAAGATAACCTATGGAAGAAAGGGTTTACTTGGCTTATGTTTCGGGAGGGTTAGAGTCCTTCATGGCAAGGAGCCGTGGCAGCAGGGAACAGAGATGGTAACAAGGACAGATGAGAGCTGAGGCAGGAAGACAGGGAATGCCCTGTGAATGGCTCAACACACACCCCGGGCACACTTCTTTACGCAAGGCCACACCTCCTCAACCTCTAGCAGCCCCACCAACAGGAAATCAGGTATTCAAACATCTGAGCCCATGGGGACATTCTTATTCAAACCACTTGTCAGATTCTACCTTTCAGCGTAACCGTCCCAACATTTCTTCAGGCTTATCATGTCCGGGCATATACAGATAGAGATTTTTTTCTTGCTGTCCATTTCCACCTCCGTGTATTTCTCTTTCCACATACGCCTCTCAGTTGTCCCTTGTTGGATCTGTGAGAGAGGAGTAGCCAATCACCACGCGTCTCGCATGGCTGGTGCCCCGGTGTGCTCACGAGTGGCTTGTCCTTTTCCCACAGAGGAAGTGGAGAATGAGGAAGTGGTATCTGTCTACAGACTTCCCTTCGGCCACTGTCAAGACAGAGCCCATCACAGAGGAGCAGCCCCCAGGACTCGTTCCGTCCGTCACTCTGACCATTACAGCCATTTCTACTCCTTTTGAAAAAGAAGAGTCCCCTCTGGATATGAATGCTGGGGTATATATGGTTTTCTTCATTATAAATATGTGTGTGTGTGTGTGTGTGTGTGTGTGTGTGTGTGTGTGTGTGTGTGAAAAGGTAGAGGTCTTTGGTCTCCAATAAAGCATTTATGCTAGGAGATGCATGTATTTGAGGGGGAAATAGCCAGGTATGTATGCTTGCATTCATGTGTGTTTATATGCACAAGTGTATCAAGAATATGTTAATTGTTATCAACATCGATTATGGCAACTTTCAAAGGTGTTGCCCAGAACAATCAGTAGCGAAGATGATTCATTTTTTACTTAACTGCCATCTGCATGGCATAGACATTCATTCTGGCGGGAGAGGAGGAGGTTATGGTAGAGTCCACACCATTCGGTGCCGTGGTGGCTGTCCATACTGGCTCTGTGTAGACTTTTCTTTCTCTAGAAGCCTGCCGAGTTGCCCTTCCCAATCCAGGGTCTCCCACCTGCTGATTCACACATGTCATGTGCCTAGTAGAGATCATAGGAAGGGCCGGAGTCCCCTCCTCACCGAAGCCCCTCACTGTGGAACGTAGAATTTAACTGTGCTCACGTCTCCCTGGGGGTTTCAGTGTCTGACGACAGGCCTGAATCACATGTATATTTTCCAGTTCTAAGTTCAGAGCCTCATTGTAGCAGCTCCAGACATCTCCATGTAGTTACACATTCCATCAGCAAGATGTGCTATTTGTCTGGTCCTGAAAAGGGAACGTATTGGGAGGGCCACAGACACGTCACAGCCTCCTTGGTAAGGAGATCTGGGTTGCAGTAGATCCCAAGATCCCTTTCTCAGTGCCTCTCTAGATCCCTGGCAGGCTCCTGAGATCTGTGTTAGTCTGCTTTTTCCAGAAGATTTTTGTTCAGTTGATTTATGTATGTGTGTGTGCGTGCCCGTGTGCATGTGCATGTGTGTGTACGTGTGTGAACTGTGCATATGTGTGTGCGTGAGTGCATGTGTGTGTGCGCGCATGTGCACGTGTGCACATGTGTGAGTGTGTGCGTGTGCGAGTGTATGTGCGCGTGTGCATGTGTGTGTGTATGTGTGTGTACGTGTGTGAGTGTGTGTGTGTACTGTGCATATGTATGTGCGTGAGTGCATGTGTGTGTGCACGCATGTGCATGTGTGCACATGTGTGCGTGTGTGAGTGTATGTGTGCGTGTGCATGTGTGCGTGTGCATGTGTGTGTGTGTATGGTGTATATATGTACCACATGTGTACATGAAATCAATGAGGTCAGAAGAGGGCATTGGGTCCCCCTGGAGCTGGAGTTACAGTGGCTGTGAGCTGCCGTGTGGGTGCTGGGGACTGAAGCCAGGTCTGTAACAGCGGCAGGAGCTCTGAACATTGAACCACCTGTTCAGGCCTTGGTTGGTTTTGAGGTCTGTCCGTAACTAACTAACATCCAGGGTCCTGTGCTCTTGCTTCTCTTTCTCCTCTCCCTGATAGGTATTTTATAGTTAGATATTGTCATCGGTCATCAAAGCGTATGGAGGGATAGGACACAATGGAAGCCTGTGGCTCTTCCAAGTTTTACCAAAATATTTCACCATAAATGTCTTTATCATAACACCACTGCCACCACAAGCAATAATGATGATGATGGTGACCGCAACAATAGTAATAATAGCAATGTAACGAGCCTTGGACTTTAACTAGCGGTCTCAGGTCTGGCTGTGAGAAGGTAAGATGTAGCCCAAGCCTTACTGTGCTGGCCCCATACTGAGGCACAGTTGGCAGGCGGCCTGTTCGTGAAGGCTGTCTCTGAGTTATAAACTCACGTTTGGAAATTCCTTTTCCAGGTGGATTCCTCGTGCCAGACAATAATTCCTAAGATTAAGTTGGAGCCCCATGAAGTGGATCAGTTCTTAAACTTCTCTCCTAAAGAAGGTATGCTCCCCACCCCCCCTCCCCACCCCTCCCTCCCCACCCCTCCCTCCCCACCCCCCCTCCCCACCCCTCCCTCCCCACCCCTTCCTCCCCACCCCTCCGTCCCCACCCCAGGCGCTCATTCCAAAGTGAAGGGAGCACAGAACAGTGGTACAGTACAGGATTACAAAGGTAGCTGGCTGTCCGGAACAACTCTGTTCTTAAGAATCTTGATTTTGAAGGTGGAAACCTTTCTCTAAAGAAGTGACCTCTCTTTCTGCCCTTCCCTTTCAGCTAAGCGTCAGTGTGGTTTGATGCTTAGCTTACCAGGCGCGGGGCTTTAGACCCATTGTCCACTGCTGTGACATCCCTGCAGCTGGTGAGAGCCACTGTCCTTCCACACTCCCAGTGTGAGCCTGCTAGCACCCCTACGGGCACACAGCAGTGCACGGTGGCACTGGCTCAACCGAACCTTGAGTTTTAACCCTCTGCGAAGAAGTCATAGTGTGCCTGCACAACCAGGGTGTGGTGACAGTTGTGACAGGCCCCTTTCCTGCTCGGTGATGTTCACGGTCCTGATGGTGTACCTCTTCGGGCTTCTTGTCTTTAGAACCCAGTCGTGCCTTGGCATTGTTTGCTTTTTGTTAATTCTCTACATCTTATTTTTTTTTTTCTTCTTCCTGACTTCCCGTTGTGTTCTCATATGAGGCCAAGTTGGGATCCTGGGTGAAGACCCTCTGCCTCGGGTTGGGGGGTTGGCACAGGATGCTCTCAGTACTTAATTTATACAGAACATGGAGCCCGCGCTTGTTAAAATTCTGTCTGTGATGCACCTTCCTTTTATTTACACGTTCAACATTGTTTAGACGTTCATTTCATTGCATGGCCCACAAAGGAGCCAGCATATACAACTGCAAGGAGCTCACATTGCATATGAACATTGTATATCATGTACCTGATTTCCTTTAGGACTCCACCCAGGGCTGGATTTGAGACCACCGAATCAGGGTTGGCCGTGACAGCCTTTACTATGTGTAAAGAAGTAAAAAGTTAAATTATCCACCTGCGTCTGTATTGAGCCTTTGTTTCTTGGCATTGAGCGGAATGCATTCATGTCTTTGAGCCCTGGAATCTGCTCTCGAGTATTTCCTTCATCTTTATGGCTGCTTCCCACCACCAAATGTATCTTGTCCTTTTTTACTGTGCCATGATGTGGTTCAGAACCTGTCACAACCCAAACAACAGATCCTCATAATAGTGTCAGGATCTGGGGTCACCGGAGGAGGAGTGGCTGTCCTTCCCTGTCATTCTGGATAAAGACAGATAAAGAGATTGGAATATCCTGGCGTAATCAAGGTTTCTAGGCGGTAGCTTGTCCCCAGCTCCTTGGGCAGCCTCAGAGCAGCATATTTCAAATCAGGTCTAGAAATCTGATCCTGGGGCACCTGTGTCCAGATGGGCAGGATTTCCTGCCAGCCTGCGTCACTGTTTTGTGGGCTCCCCCCACTACTCAGAAAGGAGAAAAGCGTAGCTTAGCCTCGGCCAGGTCGGCCAGCGGGCAGAAGAACTCTTGGTGCCCTGGGGAGTTCAGCTGCAGTCTCTGTAGATTAATCTCATCCACAGCATCATATATTCCTGGCATAGGGGAAACCTTGGCAACCTTGGCTGATACTTATGGCGTGCATGCCTGCTTTCTAGCCAGGCACGTGATGTGTGGAAGGGGCGTACTCAGCCTGCCCCTGAGCTACTTAGGTTTGTAAAGCATGCAAATGCCCTGTGGATACAGAGATGCTGCATGAGGCTGACCTACCCCCCCCCAGGGGCTGGGGGCAAGGGGCTCTCAAATGTAATCTCTCTCAGCAATAGCCCATAGCAGAACAGAAAAATCCTGTTCAGAAAAAAGAGGGAGGGAGCCCCCAGTGAACCCCAGGTGATGCAGGGGGGTGGGGCTGGGGGGTGTGGTGGCTAGAGTGGGTTAGCCTGACCTCTGTGGGGAGCTCTCAGCCCTGGTAATGCGCCTTGAAGAAAGGCCTTAGGGGAGAAGGCACCGTGCACCCCCCATTTTTTTTTTCCTGTGACTACTTACCGGTCCAATGGTGGATGTAGGGTTTCTGAATGAAGAATGCCTGGCCTCCTGCCCGCAGGCCCCACTGGGCACATTCCTTCAGAAACAAAGCAGCTTTTCTCCAGGGATTCCAGGAGTGCTCTCAGGTCGGCAGGTTCCAAAAAGACTGTTTTAAAAGCTGCATACTACTAACAGGATTTGCGAGTCAACTTGTGTAAACTGTCTGAAGAGTACAGCGGGCGGGCGGGGCTTGCAGCTCAACTGATAGAGGGCTTGCAAAGCTTGCAAGAAGCCTTCCATTCTACCCCCAGTACCACATATGGTGGCACACACTTTCAATCCCAGCATTCCAGAGGTGGGGGAGGCAAGAGGATCAGAAGTTCAAGGTCACCTTCAGCTGTCCAGAATGCATGGCCAGACTGGTGTACATGATTGCCTGTCTCAAAAATAAGCTTATAAAGGACCACAGTCTTGTCAGTACCATGTCAGGGGGCACCCACCCTCCCAGGCCACCCCTGGGATCACCCTTTTGTTAGTGTCTCATGCATATGTCTGCCCAGGGTAGTTTTGTGCTAGGACTAGTGAGTGTACCTCTGTGCTCACTTTCTCTCCCTTCCCATACAAAAGAGGACAACTGGACACACTGTTCTGTGCCCGGCTCCCCTCTTCTCAATACATCTCATCTTAAAGAACTTTCCAGGTCAGCGAAGAGGGTCACCACTCTGTGCACCTACCCAAGCTCCCTAGTGTGGAGACGCGTGTGTTTAACTGAGTCTCATGTTACTCCTCCGTGGTGGGTAAAATGCATGCTTTCTCTTCATCCGCAGCAGCCTCGGTGGATCAACTGCACTTACCGCCAACACCACCCAGTAGCCACAGCAGTGACTCCGAGGGCAGCCTGAGCCCTAACCCACGCCTGCATCCCTTCAGCCTGTCTCAGGCCCACAGCCCTGGCAGAGTCATTCCCCGCGGTGCCTCTGCCTTGTCCACATCTCCCCTCCCTCACTGCCCCCATGTAAGTATCTGAGCCGCCCTTCTGGCAAGCCAGGAATCCTCTCAGTAGGATTTTTCATTCTTGGAGTGAAAATTTGTTTAATGGTTGCAAGTCTTTGCCCACGTTATGTTGCCGTAGCAAATTAACCAAGAAGGCTGAGTAAGTTGAGGAGATTATTTTGTTGTTTGCTTGTTTGTTTTGGTACGTGATCCTGGAGGTGGTGAATTTCAAAAGCATGGCACTTATATCTCCTTAGCTTCTGGAGAGGATGCTTCAGGCATAACAGGGAAACAGAAAGAAGAAGGGCCAGAGAGACATGTATGTACCCAGGAGACAGGGACCCGTGAGCAGGGCACCCTCATGGTAACTAATCCAGTCCTGTGAGTCCCAGCTCAAAGGCATTGATGGGCGTTCTTCACATGCACACTTCTCAGTGGTACCACACTGGGTCCCAGCCTCCAGACGGGGACAGACTGGTTCAAGGTACATCACCAAAGTGGAGTAGTAAGAACCCCAAAGAGCATGTTTGCAAAGACTTGCCTACAAATCTCAGTAATTCTGTTTTTCATATGCACAGGTCCAGTTCATACTGATTTATTTCCCAGGGCTGGAAGACTAAGGCATGCCATTTCTGTGCTTTTCCCCTCAAAGTTCTACCATAAACACTTGCCACTAATGTAGACTGTGCTTACTTAGTGTGCACTAGGGAATGCCTTTCATCTTTCAGATAAGCCGTCTTGGGTGAAATTTGAAAAGAAAGTCTCTCTGAGATTAAGTTCTTTGATGTCAAAAGCTTGAAAACATAGTTTAATCTTCCTGTGTGTTGGAGGGTTAGGGGCAACCTGGGACAAAAATAGCAGGTCGTCATTCATCCCACACACATAAAAGGAGGGGTAGAGAATTCACTCTCATTTTATTGTTCTGAAGAGGAGTCTGATTTCTATGAGGCCTTAAAAATTACAATCAGAATTTTAGAATTATACTATCGTGAAGAACAAATTTTAAAGGTATTTTATTCTTTGAAAATTTCACACATGCCTGCAAATACAAATAAAATGTTTTAAGAAGGCATGGGAACCATCTATCAGTATAATTTTAAAAGTTTGAGATTCATTTGTCCCCATAAGTTTTAGATCCTAACATAGCACCATTACTGAGAACAAAGGAATTCACGCCCCCTTCTTTGCCTTTTCTACTTGAACCTGGCTTTGGATTGTTGGAATAATTTCCATCCTCTATGTCTGCATCTCCTTCCAAGAATTACCCATTTTGAACACTTTGGGGGAAGTCACCCCCCCTCCCCGTATTCTTGCTGGCAGCCAGGTAGTATTTCCTGCTAGATGCCCTGTGGGGCCCGGCCCTCAACAACTCACCCTTTGCTGTCTTGGTACTTTTCTGAGTAGAGCACGGTCTTTTGCTTATAATACCAGCTCCCCTCCCCCCCCACTCCTGAGAAGGCATCACTTTTTTTCAGAGAGCAGCCTTCGCGTCTCATCCCTTACTCTCAGCCTGGAAACTGACAAGGGTCCTCTCTCTTTGTCCAGCCAACACCACAGCTTTAGCACTGAGCCGCCCTGAGATTTCAGGCTTAAGTCTTGATCCTAAGCCACTTCAGAGACTGGTTTTGTTTTCAGCCCCCCCCCCCGTGGCAGGGAGCATGAAGGTTAGGCACCAGTGAGTCAGCAATAGAGATGCATCATTGTGTCCTGGGCTAAATGGACGAGCTGTGGTTCTCATCTTCATGCTGATGGGTAGTGTAGGACTCCAGAAGCCTGAACTTGCGTGGAAGGTGCCTGATGGTGTATCTCTGGGAGTTTGGGCTCTTCCTTAGCTGTAAGGAGGGGGAAGAGCAACTGTGGTGTGTGTGGAAAGAGCTAGTTATAAAATTAGCCCTTCAGTAGGAGAACAATACAAGTCTTGAATGAAGCTGAGCTCCAAGGGAATTTTCCATCACCCCTAAGTGGCTAGGGGTGTGGGGTGTGAATTCTATACTGTTACTTTTGCATGTGCTAGATATGGGTTACTTCCTGGGAAACAGTGGGTGGAAGCTTCTTTAGGCTTTCCTTTGATTTAAAACACCCACTTGGGAGACTGGGGGGGGGGGTGATTCAGAGGGTCTGGAGGGTCTTGCTCTGCAAGCATGAGGACTTGAGTTTGAATCACAAGCACCCTCATAAAAAAGTCAGGCATGGATGCCTGTGTCTGTAACACCAGCCTTGGGGGGTTGGGACAGGTGGATGCCAGGAGATCACTGGCTAGTCAACCTGGGTGAGAACATCAAACTTCAGGTTTGTTTCACTACAGTTTAGAAGAGTTCCTATGCCCTGTTCTGGCCTCCATATGCACACAAGATGCTTTACACGCTTACACCACACATACATATATACACATGCCACACACATGATAAATGAATAAATCACCCACACAGGCACACCTTTTCTCTCTTGTCTCTTACTTGAAAGCGCCCACTGTTCGTGAGCCACTGTGATGGGTTTCCCACACTCTATGTTGAGGTCATTTTTCAGCCACTGCTCTTTGACCCCTCTGTGCTCCCTGTCTGCACAGAAGCTGCAGGGATCTGGCCCACTTGTCCTGACAGAGGAAGAGAAGAGGACATTGATTGCTGAGGGCTATCCTATTCCTACAAAACTGCCCCTGACCAAATCTGAGGAGAAGGCCCTGAAGAAAATCCGGAGAAAAATCAAGAATAAGGTGGGTTGCTCCCCTCAAGGCGTCTCTATGACAGACAAGGAAGAACTGAGCTCTCACAGCCCCCAGTCCCCAAAGTCCACAGTGGGACTGCCTATAGCCAGTCAGGAACATAGACACCATCTGCCCATCCTTTCCAGCAAGTCCCACCCACCATGGGTGTGAACTTTCATAGCAGTGTGCATACTCCTTCTTGTATGATAGCCTGTTCAGAAGCAGGAGAAGATACAAGCATCTCCCCTTTGCATATCTTTTTAGAAATCCCAGCCTTTTGGGATGCATGTATTTTTCTTCTAATTGCCCTATATGTAGTTTATAAAACACTATGACTTTATGCTGGGTAATTTAAAGGTTTATTTTTCTTGATAGTGGTCTGCGATGAAAACAAACTTGAGTAGCCACCTGGTCTCTGTCTGGGCTCATCTGTTGCTGCCAGGGCTGAAGGGGGCTGGTGAAGCCCTGGCCTGTGACAGGAGAGGAAGCAGAGGGAACCAGGGTGATGCCTCTGTACCCTCACGCAGAGCCAGCAGACAGTTTATATATGTCCAGGCCCAGTTGGCTGATTTTATATGTAATTGAGCCAGCTGAGGTCCAGAGAGCTGACATCATTTTTCTTAGCTATTTTAACAGAAATGGGGTTGGTGGAAAATAGACTCCTCAGTTTAAACAAAGGGGAGGCAGACACCCAAGTGAGGCCAGCTCGGCTGACCTTTGCTTCCTGCAGTCCATCCACTCCTGTTTTACTTACGGAACTGGAAATTCACCCCCTCGCCTCCCTCATTTCACAGATTTCTGCCCAAGAGAGCAGGAGAAAGAAGAAAGAATATATGGACAGCCTGGAGAAAAAGTAAGCCAGCTCACTGACTGGTTGTGGTTTTTTTTCAGGCAATGGTCAACAAGCCGGGCGGGTGAGGGGCTCAGTTTGGCTTCCACGATCCCCCTCTCCCCGCCCCGTGCATCAATCAGCAGTGTTGGCCTGCCCCCTTGTGGTCATGTGGGAGGAATCGCTGCTCTTGGACCTTGATCTTGAGTGCTTGCTTCTAGGCTCCTTGAGCAAGCCTTAGATACTGACATTCGAAACTCCTCAGAGATGCCCAGCTTCAGCCTACTGGAAAACTGTTGTTTACCCAGGTCCTATAGGCCTCAAATGACACAAACCAGACTCTGGTGTTTCCTGTATTCAGTAATACACACTGTGGGCAGACTTTTTTTTTCTTTTTTTTATACAAAAATACATGAAGGCACCTTTGTTCTCTTGAAAGCCCTGGAATGCTGTAAGAGCTCCCAGAGAAGTGTGAATTGGGTGCCATCTCTGCTGACTCTAGAAAGTAGTTTTTCATCTGACAAGTTGGCGTGACTTTGAGATAGGAAGGAAGGAGGTCCTAGAAGACCCATAACTGAGTCTTTCTTCCTCATTTGTGCACGTGGGAGAAGATACTGGCTGGCTTCTAACTGGTTCTAGAAGTTTCTCTGGGAGTAGTGTGTCTATGACTTGACCTAGATGATGCTGGTGTAGCATCAAGCACTCCTGTTCGGTTTTAATGTGCCCTAAAGGCGTCTGTAACTAAGATTATCTCTATGGACCTCTCCTCTGCCTCTCTGGGTGTGTGGGCTACAGTACATCACTGTCCTGGCTTCTGGTCCCGGCTGACTTTCACACAAGCTCCAAGCTTTGTATCAGATCTGGCTCAGATCTGGTGCAGCTCACCCATGGTTCTCCACGCTGTAATGTAATGGTGGGATGAGAGCAACAGGAAGAGGTGGAGAGCCAGGCTGAGAGCCTAATGGGGGCTGCGTGTGTCCAGCCTGTGCTCCTTCCTGAGGAGAGCCCTGGCCTGCCGTGCTGTGCGCCTGGACTCTCTTCTCCACTGACCACCCCTACTAAAGATGCCACTCACCTCAGCTGCTCCTAGCTGAGCCGTTGCCCCGTGGAGAGTGACTGTGTGTCTTTGCCCTCTCTCCTCAGAGTAGAGTCTTGTTCAACTGAGAACTTAGAACTTCGGAAGAAGGTGGAGGTGCTGGAGAACACCAATAGGTGAGTGTGGCCACAAGAAGGCAGGGGCTCACAGTACAGGACTGGAGCAGGAGGGAAGGGCTTGCCTGGATACCCAAGTAGCTGGGCACCGCCTACCAGCTCTGCTTCATGGGCTCCGCTTACATACACACAGGTGTATGCACAAATACACTTGTACGCACACCACATGCATGTTCTTTACTTTTGAATGGTTGGTAGGGAGGATGGTCATAACAAGGACCGTAATACGAAGTTAAAGGGAGTGGGACTCAGTCATAGAATGCTTGCCTAACATGCATAGAGCCCCTAGGTTCAGTCCTGGGTGCCACAAAGCACGAATGAATAAAGGAATACCGAAGGGAAACTTGCAGCAGAATGAACCCCTCAGTCTGACTCTTCTGAAAGTGATACTGAGTTTTAGAGGTGGACAAGGAGGCGTGGGGATTTAGCGTCAGTTAATTATAGCAATAATCACGTGTGTTAGTTTAAGAAGGGACTCTTGGCTTTGTGAGCCTGTTTTTAATTTAAAAACTAATGACTTACATTTCAGTCCCATTTTGAAAGATTAGTTGGGCCTTTCTTTCCAGTGGAGGTGCCTTCCAGGCCTTTCTGGTCCCCCTGGATCCTATACCTCAGCCATTTCTTTAGGGTTCTGTCTCCTGCCTGTCATTAGCTGCTATGGATGTTCCCTCGTGTTTCTGAGTGTGAGCTGGAGAAGGGCCGGCAGTTTGGGCCTGTTGGGGCTGGGCTGTTAGGCCTCCCGTTGGCCACAAGGGTGCAGCAAAACCTCAGCAGGGTTGCGTGGGGACCAAGAAGGAGCATGTTGAGAGAAAGGGCCCACGAGCCACCTGGCCTGGGGAAGGGGTCTGCTCCACTCTCCATCTGGCTACAGTTTGCTTTGTTTGTTTAGTCCTTGGTAACCACGGACGTTTAAAACTCTCCCTATGCTTTTCACCTTCCACGTGCCAGGGTTACAGGTGTGCACCCCACATCCAGGCTTGAATATTTTTGCTTGCTCGTTTGTTCATTGGCTTAAATCACGTATCCACACCCCCCAAAGGTTCACATTGGTGTAGGCGTCCATTGTGTGTCTTCTTATCTTTAACATGTAGATTCTCTTCCGTGTTCTTATTTGCTTTGTATAGAGCCCAGGCAGCCAGCCATGACCTCTGCAAGTCTGGCGTGCCCGTGGCTGCCTTTAGACATCCTGTGCTTACCGTGGGCTGCTTTGCTTTGTGTTCGGGTTTAGGTATGGATTCCTCATAGGGTCCACTCAGCCTCCTCAAGAGGTTTATAAACTCTCTCTCTCTCTTTTTTTTTTTTTTTTTTTTTTTTGGTTATCAGCAATGTGCAATTTCTAATAATTTCAGGACAGGTAAATATATAGGGATTTTGGAAACAACTTTGTAGACACCATCAGTTTCTTCTTCAGTTGTTAGCAGGATATTTTTTTATTTAATAATGTTGTGGGAGATTGAAATCCATATCTTTGCCTATCGCTCTCCACCTTGTTTTTTTTTTTTTTTTTTTTTTTTTTTTTAAGACAGGATCTCTTACTGAACCTGGAGCTTGCTGTTTCTATAGACTGGATTTCCAGGAGCCCTCAGAATTTGCCCCATAATCTCCCAAACCCCAGTGATGGGATAACTAGAGCATACTACCACACTTGTCTTGTAAAGGAGTACTGCTATCCAAATTCTTCATGCTTGCATAGCAAGCACTTTGCCCATTGGGCTAGAGTGCTCCCCGGGGCTCACTGGCCAGTCAGCCTAGCCTAATTGGTATGCAGCAAGGCAACACCTCCGGAAGATGGCATCTCTGCCCTGCCACAAACATGCACACACACAACACACACACACACACACACACACACACACACACACACATAAATTCAGTATATGCTTATATAGAATACATACTTAAATCTCCAAATTCTTTGATTTGGATCTACAAATACTTCTTAGGATAATTCATATATATGTGTTTGTGTCATGCATATTTTTTTATTAAAAATTTTTCATTGAATGACATACACTGGACTCATTGTCCATGGCTGTCTGTACTGAATCCTCATCTGAAACTGTTTCATAATTCTCACAGGACATTGGTGTTTGGCCCTTTCCTGACAGTGGCTGTCAATTAACATAGTCAGGCTAGTATTTAGGCACTGGCCACAGTAGAGAATGGGTTTAGCTTGTTCTGCCCTATCTTTAACTTTACCTGGGTGTAACTGACAGAGAATGCTGTACATTTTCAAGTGTCATCATTTCATACATGTGTCCATTGTGAAATGATTATCATAGTGGAATAAATTACACTCCCCCACACACACGGTTATCTCTGTTTTCCTGTCATGCAAACGCTTTAGTAAGAATTAGTAAGAATTAGCAGAATACTGCCCTGTCATTAATTGCAGTGGCCTCCTGTGCATCAGCTCACAGTTCCTTTTCACCTGAAATCCTTTAAGGAACCTCTCCCTACTTCCCTAACTCCCCAGTCCTCTGGGCCAATTTCACATTCTTGTTTCTGAGTTGGACTTTTAATAGATCATTCTGTATATAAGCAATCCATAGTCTTCTTCTGTATCTGTCTAGGTTCTTTTCGTTTCCTAACTGCAGGAGCCTCTCTGATTTGCTAGCCCCTCACTTGCTAGACTTTTGATAGCCAAGAGCTTCCATGTGATTCCCTCCTGAGTCCCTATCTGCTCTCCTCCACTTCCCTGGTTCAAACTTAACTTCCAGTGGACAACCTTCAAGTGGTGGTTATGACTGGAGCTTGACCCCTTGTACTGTTTCTACAGATAATTTTGGCCAGAGTTCTCCAGTCATCATACCCCAGTACCCATATTTCATGTATTTTGACTTAAAGGTGGATACATAAAGAGCTGTGTTGCTGAGCAGTCTCTAGTGGGTCCCACCGTCCCCCCTCCTTCTCTTTCTCCTGTTTCTTGCAGGGCCTCCCTTGTCAGAAGACCACAGTGACCAAAACAACTATGGTGTAAACACCTGTGCTCCAACACCAGCTGGGGAGAAGCAGGTGTCAGGGGAGAGCTTCTGGACTCCTCATATCACATGATGTTTGAACTGAGCACAGCCCTGGACGGAATGAATGCACAGCTGTGTTTGTGCTACTATGGACACTTCTCCTTTGGAGGCAGCCAGACAGATGTCGAAACTGATGACTAATGCCAATGGGAACCCGATTGCAAGAAGTGGGTGGGGGACATAGAGTGCCATCATTTCTAACGGCATGACAGGTGGGCGACTATGTCACCACTGGGAAACAATGCCTCTCATAGCTAAGATACCCGGTAAAGGGTGCGTCAGGGGTTCGAGCCCATCTGGACTGTTTGCACTGACTTCAGCAATGGACTTCCCGGCATGTTGGTTGGTTTCGAGGGGAAAAGGACACCTTTTTCTGAGCTCAGAGACACTGGATGGGGCCCAGCTAGCGGTGTGTGTGGGGGGTATGTCCCTGTTTCCTCTCTCTCAGAGCTGACGCGTGGTGCTGGTGCGCTTTTTGCCGCCTTTACTAAGGTGGTCCACTATTGCAGCCATCCATGGAGCAAAGGTGATGCTACCCAGGGGACCCTTCATCCTAACCCCAGCCAGTAAGTGTATCCACTCAGTGGTGCCAGTCAGAGCTACGGAGACTCCTCTGCTTTACCCCCGGCCTCTCAGGATGCAAATGCAAGCTCTCAGGAAGGCCCACCCTTGTCTTACTCCTGAGACATCCTGTTCTTCAGCCCTGTGGCCACTTTGCCTAAGTGATGCACCTGTCCCACCCAGCCCATCACAGGGAGGTGTTTGTGGCTCCGTTTGTTTTGCTCTGTCTCTGAAAGGCTGTGGCTCCAGTGCCTCTCTTCCAGACCCGATTTCTAGGCTCTTATGAATATGCACTTTAGAGGGCTTGATGCCTCCTTGCTAGTCACTGTCAGGCCGGTGAGGTTAGAGTCATACTAACAGTAGCAAGTAGAAAGGAACTGGAATTCGACTTCCTGGCTGTCACCCTGTGCCTTTCCCTGCTCCTGTGCGGCTCTCCCTCTACTTAGCATGGGTCAGACCTGGCCAAGGGAGCCTGTGCCTTAATGGACCCTGCTTTCTGTTTCTCCAGAGCCACAGAGGGATGAATGGTCAGCACGACCATAAGGGTGTGTTCCCCCAGAGCATGCACTCTGCCCTGTACCCAGAGACCTGGGATTCTTTGTCCACATGCTCTTAACCCATTCCCAGGGTCCATGTGGACTTCTACCCCAAGTCCATCCTCTGGAAGGGTACGCTAGGGGCCCTGTGGAACCCTGAGGCCAATGGGGTACATACGATTGGAGCTGAGGGGCAGGAAGGCGTGTGGCAGGGTGCTCTTTCACAGTCTCAGGCCTAGGATTTCATTTGACCTTACTATAGGAGGTCCGAGATTCCGGAGTCCAAGACACAGGACTTGTTTATGCCCAGCATAGCAGGCAGAGTGGCCACTGACAGATTTGTATCGGCTCTCTTTGCCACCATATTCCAGAAAAGGTGCAGTGTGGGCATGGCTCTCCCAGTGGCTAGGGCTAAGGAGGCCATGGAATTGAGGGCTCCCTGCTTCTTTAACAGGTTGTAAATAAGCCCGCTTTTGTGCCCAGGTGGTGTGAGGAGAGAGCCTTCAGACTCATGGGATATGCAGGCCCCTTTCCTGAGGCCGCAGGGTGTGAAAAATCACCCAGTTTTACTCTTTGACCTGTCCATTGCTGAGTCCTCTCTGAACGTCTGCTCCTCTTGGTCTTTAAACCCTGTGTAAGAATTCCTACCACAGATCTTCCCATTTAAGTCTGCTGGGCATGCCTACGTCCTGGCTCTCCTGGGGCATCTATTGAGCCTACAAAGCTATGTGTATTCCTCCCTATACACTATTGTATCTTCTCTGTGAGTTCGTCTCATCTCTCTTGGACCGGTTACTGGCGAGCCCACCCTCTACCGTATACAGAGGAGCCATAGAGGACAGAGAAATTACCCATATCATGTTTTTCAAGATGTTTACCCTGGTTTAATTCACTTTTCATTTCTCTAGTCT